AATCCAAATTTTTGTTCCAGAACGCGGGAAAGATTTAATTTGTTAAAAGCCATAAGTTGACAGGATAACGTTTGGCCAGGTTTTTGTTTTTCAATATACCACTTGGGTTGGCAAAAACCCCAGACATTTTCAATCCCGGGACATCAGGATTGAAAAAGTCGTCCCCAAAAAAATCCCGGGATTGAATAGAAAAACACGCAATTGTAGAAAGAGAAGCACAAGAAGTACTAAGTTATAAGTACTTATCAAATTCATATAAATGATTAACTTAACTACGATGTAAATAAAGTACTTTATTCATTAATGAATCTAGAAAAGTCTTTTTAAAACAATTTTATTTTGATTTTAACTTCACTTTTCAGTCTACTATTAGCATGGGGTTGCTCCATCGAGTTTCGCAATCCATGATTAAATAGATGATCTTTCTAAACTCAACTATTACGTACTTTTGTAAATAAGTTTCATTTTTGTTTGGGAAACTTTTAAAACATTTTTACAATTATCCTGACGTTTTTCTTGTAATCAAAAATTTGCTGCCTATTTTTAACTTCAGATGTTTATTGATTATCAATGAATAATTTAAATCTCGAATATAATCTTCCTCTTTAAAACCAATTTCTACTTAAAATAACGACGCTAAATAAACTTTTTATAGTTTAAAAAACCAGTATTTTGATAACTTCATTAATTAAACCTTTGTAAAACACGCAAATATTGGTAGTTAAATTGATAGGCCATTAAAATGAAATTAAAATCAATTTGGAATTAGAATGAATTAGAAAATTCAAAATAAAAAGGTTCTTTCTATTAAATTTTTTCTATTAAAAATGTTTGATCTTTCAATTAGCAAGTGCTAAAACACTTTATTTTTAATAAAATATTATTGTTAATATTATACTAATATATACATTTTGATTTTTGTTTAATCATACAAAATATGTACAATTGAACATATAAAAAATTTATAATATTGCAGATAAGCAATTGTGTTTTTAGTTTGCATTTTTGGTAGAATAATGAATGAGGGAGAATAAAAAGAAAACATTGCAAAGAGGATAAACAGCTACAAAACCAAGCAAGTTATGCTTGGTTTGAAATTTAGTTTTTAAAATTGGTTGAAGCAGTTTATGAATTTCTTTAATTTCAAAGCCATATATTAACATTTTATGATGTAAAAATATAATGACAATTTATGATGTACAAATTTCTTAATTATAAATTAGGTTCAAACATTTTGTGCTTTTACTTTTCTTAAGACAATCCCGAATTCCAAAGAAAAGAAAAAAATGTATAAATATATAAATATTCATATATAAATATTCATATATATATATATATATATATATGTATATATATATATATATATATATATATATATATATATATACATATATATATATATATATATATATATATATATATATATATATAGAGAGAGAGAGAGAGAGAGAGAGAGAGAGAGAGAGAGAGAGAGAGAGAGAGAGAGAGAGAGAGGTAAACAGCGCTCGAAATAGCGGCCGATTAACGATTGTCTACTTTTGAAAAAAAATCTCCTAAAACTAATTCTTGCTGATCAAATTTGATCGTCATGAATTGCAAGTCAAACTTTATATAAACAAAAGGTTTATTACCCGTTTAAGAACTTTTTTTAAATAAATTGAATTTTTTTAAATAAATCGAATTAGCATTACATTTAGAAACAAAAAGTTTCTGGAAAATAGGAAAAATAATAAATAATGCGACATGATTGGTAGAAATGATGTTGACTTCAAAACATCTCAATGCTTAAGGCAAAATATTTTTTTTTTTCGGTTAAATAAAAAAAATAAGTTTTAGAAGTAAAGTTATATGAAAAGTATTAAAATAATCATAAAACCTGGCGGGCATTTAAACATTTAATCAACGTTTAGATAATTGTTCGTTCTAAATGTTTAGATTTAATTTAGTTTTGATTTAGAACGCAGGTCAATCGAATGTTCTATTTAAACCATATCTAAATGGTTCGTTTCAAACGCTATTTAAACACCATCTAAATCTTTTGTTTTAAACGTCGCGACTAGGGTGGATCGATTTTTATAGCAAAAAAAAAAAAAAACATTAAAAATCAATATCCCTGAAACACGAATCGATGACTATCAATTATAAATAAAAAAAAGTAAAAAAGTATTTTTTAATTTTGATGAGATCATGAGGTTCCTCTTGAGATTCTAAATCCTTGACGGATCCAAATATTTTTGAATTTGTATTTTTCTAAACTATATCAACCTTGGACTCAAAAAAAAGCAGAAAAAAATGCTTGTTTTATAAGTAATATTTCATTTTAAAAATATTTAGTGAAAAAAATATTTGCAAAATATACCTTAAAACCCCTGATTTGATAAAGACAGAGGTTTTAATGAAAAAAACGACATTACTTTTTTTCTATAGTTTTGAATTAAAACAAATATTATATTCAAAATAAACGTATAGGGTAAAACACCCAGTATTCGCCACTTTTTTCTACCCTGCCCCACTAAAATATTGTTTTCTCACTCGTTTTTCAATAAATGATTGATCTTAAATATTTATCGTACAGATGGATAGTTGGGCTATTCGCTGTACTTAGAACGAATGACCTCCGATAATTAATAAGGGGGCTATAGCCCCCAAAAGTTGAAAGTGGCGGACACTGGAACGGTCCCCGTGTTCGCCAGGCAATTTTTTGAACCTGTTCCAGTGTTCGCCACCCTCAGACTTTTTAAAAAATGAGTTCTTTTTTTTAGTTATTTGGTATTAAAAGTATATTTAAATAATTGTTGAATAATTTTTTTATGTAATGGAAAATTTTTTTGGTTTCTTCTTTGCCATTTTGGTTGCTGGCAGCAACTTTCTTTTAGCTGGAACACTTGGCTTGTTGCGTTTAGCTAATTCAGCAACTAAGCGCTTTGTTTTTCTCTCCTCTTTTGCTTGTTCTTGTTTTTTTTTCAAGCCTAATACCTTCTACCATTGAGACAACTTTATCTGAAGTCACTACAGATGTGGCATGAAGTTCTTGAGCCACTGTACGAACCTTTCCTATGAAAATTAAAATAATAATCAGGTTATAATAAAGTAAATTTATGACCATAGGCTACATGTGGTAATTTTACAGAGATTAAAAATGGAAATTATAATAATAAATTTAAAATATAGGTAGCCTAGTTAATACACTAACCGATAGCTTTTTTTGGAGAAGGAAACCACTTATGATTTTTAAGAGCAGGACTAATCGCAGGTGGTCTTGCTTGTCTTTGAGGTTCTACCAACATAGGTCTAGTCCTGTTTGGAGGGGCTGACATTGAGGAACACTGTGCATCTGAACTAGAATGAATACTAGGTGAATGAACAGGGGAAACAACAAGGGAATCAACAGCTGGTGCATCCTCTTGCCGATGATTTCGATCAAAGACATATTGGAACCAATTTTGCCTCTTTACCATTCTGAGTGAATCAAATCGTCGCGAATCGATGACAAAGTCATCAAATGATTTTGTTATCCTGTAATATAAATAAGAATTGTTTTATAATAGTTACTAACTTTTATTACCCTGTAATAGCTATAAATAAAAATTGGTTTATAATAGCTACGAACTAGCTAGCTGGGCTTATTATTTTATATTGATACAAATGTTAGACACTAATACCTAGCTATCACTTACAGGTGAATGTTTGGGCCTGCTCCCAGTCCTTCCATCGTGCTAGTACTTGTGTTACCAGACAAGATGATGTCAGAGGATGTCTGTGTCGCAACATTGACATGAAAAAAATTTTCAACTTGAGTGGAAGTTTCAACACGACCGTCTTGAAGCACTCCTTCAAATATTCGACTGTCTCCGGAGTGGGCTTCTTCTCTATTTTCTCTCTACTCATGACCCTTGTGTACACTGGCAGGAACGTTCCTGCAAAGGACTCTTTGGTAACGTATTCATTTGGGTTGGCAGCCCTGAACCTATTTACACACTTAGCCCATTCATTTTTCATAGGGCCAAACAATCCTCCGTCCAAAGGCTGCATGAAATGGGTACAGTTTGGTGGGATCAATATAAGCATTATTTGCAGGTCTGCTAAGGTTTTAACTAAATGAAAGTGCAGCCTCGATTTATGTTTGTCGGACCAAACTATAACTGGTCTTTGTATATTATGTTGAGTTAACCATTGGTCAAATGCATTAGTGAGATACTCATAAAGCACCTGATGGTTAATATATCCCAATTCACTTTTTCCGATTGCAAATAAACTGGATGGATTAGCTTCGTATACATTCATAGGAATACGAAGGTTAAAATAAATTATAAGCGGTGGAGGGAGAGAGCCATCGGCACTAACGTTAGCTGCAAAGAAAAGTCCAAAAAAACCAAAAGTTAGCAAGCAGGCCAAGCTAGTATCATGCTAAGCTATCATGCTCAGAGATATGTTGAAAAAAAAGCAATTTATAGTGCAGCATTAAAAGAAAAGCATTACAGAAATAACATAAAAGTGATTCTTTCCTTTTCTTTTGAAGATGTCGCATACGGTACATTTTTAGAACCCTTAGCAGCTAAAACTTTGGAAACCTTGGGTGAAAACTGGAACCCCGACTCGTCGATGTTATAGTTACGCTGGGGTTCCTGAAGGATTTCAAGAAGGTCATATTCAGAGAGGTACGATCTTATATCAGCAAACCATTGTTGTATGACAGCTTGTGAGACATTTCTTCTATTCGCACTTAATGATTCAGTCATGCGAGCAACTATGTTAGGATGCCTCGACAGGCATAGCTTATACCTTAGAAAATAATGGCTAAATTAGTCGACTAGGTATAGGCTATTTCTTTTAGACTAATTTTATGTCTGTATTAATTGTTATAAGCTTTATTTATTAAGCTACAAATGTTTTATAAAGTTAATTTGTAATGTCTTATGACTCGTTATTAAAATTATAACATTTTTTTTTATTTTAATTACCTATAGGTCAACTTTTATAACTTAGGCACAACCTACTTACTATTTATTCCCTGGCTGTCGAGTACCTGATCTTCCAAATTGAAAGGGACGGTTTCTATTTACTTCCATAAGTAACCTTTCATCCGAAAGAAGACTAGTTACCAATGACATAATGGTTTCTTTGGTAACAGGGTGGGCACGTTTCTGTGCGCTAACAATAAAATTCACCAAAACATTTTCTTCTGCTACAGTAAGGTAGGTTTGTGGGCCCATCTTTTTTACAACAGGCGCTTTACCACTTATTTTGTCCCTCAATGTGGTGCGCGGGATATTGTACAACTTGGATGCCTCTGAAGCAGTTCTTTCACCACTGAAATATAGCACAGTATAATTTAGGTATGCAACTACTTTATCAGTACTAGGCAGCCCTACCCTATGTATTTCTTTTAAATGTATTATAGGCATTAGGCTATTATGACTACACAATAAGAAATTTAAGCATTGAAATTATGTCTATTAATGCATGCTAATTTTATTACCTTTTTACTTCTTCAATTGCCTTTCTAATGTCCTCCTCAGTGTAAGAATCTCTTGTAGACATACGTGAACCCTTATTGGACTTTGATTTACTAGTATTCATAATTCTAAATGGATATTATGTACCTAGGTACTTATTGAAACTATTTATTATAAGTCTTAACTTGATATATAAATTAATTTAATATAGTTATATAGCCCTATTTGGACTGCTTTAGTATTGTTTAATAACTAGGTTAACAGATAACCTACTTCTGAAATAAAAAATAAATACTTAGCTATTTTTATACATTTAATAAAAAATAAAAAATAATAATTTGTTCCCGATGGCGAACACTGGCAAAAGGGGGGTGGCGAACACTGGACAAATTTAAAACGCCTATAACTTTTTTGTTTTTAAACGAAATTCAACCTAACGAAGACTGGCATATGGGTCAAAGTCCATATTTTACCATAAAGCCCATATACGCCACTTTAAAGAAAAAAAAAATACCTGGCGAAGACTGGACTAGGTACTATTATGTGTTCCAGTCTTCGCCACCCCCCCTAACCCTGCCCCCCTTAATTTTTTTCCAAGAATAGCCCTGGTACAATCTTCTCCTTGTTCTTCCCATCAATCTGGAATAAAAAAAGTGAAATTGAATTGATATTTAATATGTTTTTTATGTAATTGTTTGAAAAGATTTCTGAAAAAAAATTTTAAGGATTAAGGTTTTTTTGTGACACACTTTCATTCAAAAAAATCCTGAGAGTTTATTTATTTAGTTACGATCGTCAAACTTTCGTCAAATATAAAGCAATGATGGGCGTTCATTCTAGACACTATTTTGGCACTTTCAACCAAATAGTTTTTGACATGCATGTTTTTTAATGGAAAACTGGCGACGACTGGAACACCTGGCGAACACTGGGTGTTTTACCCTAATTCTGCTTCTTTTGAGTACCAGGTTGTTAAAAAAATTTCAACAATATTAGGATCCGTCATAAATTTAGAATCCAAAGAGGAACCTCTAACACTCATTTTAACTTAAAAAAAAAAAGTAAAGTTGTTTTTTCACCAAAAGACATCGATTCGCAGCTCAGGCAAATCAAATTTCGAAAAATTTTCAAAATCGCGACGTTTAACTATATTTTAAGGCGCTTATTTAAGGAAGCACAAATAAAACAAATACTGGTAAACGAACCAATTTAAGCTGCTTTAAATAAGCGCCGTAAAGAAAAGTTAAAACCTGAACGCATTATCTAAATACTCATAAACAAATCAAACGTTAAACAGATAATTTTTTAATTATATAAGTTTAAAGTACAAGTAAAATCATTTTATTTATTACTATATGTCTTATCGTATTCGTTATCTTGATCGGCTCCATAATGGTCATCGTCATCTTTGCTTGAACCGATTTAGCTTTTACGTTTTAAGAATTAGAAAAAAGGACATAACCTTTCCTAATTCCATCTATACGGGAGCCATTCTAAGATGGGAACCAATGCACGATACCGTATTGCAGATACCGAGGACGTAGGACCTACAATCTCCTTTTCAATACAAGTTCTAAAAATAATAAAAATAACATTCATTTAATAACAACTTTATAAATGCATAATTATATATATATATAAATAATATATAAAGTTTAGAAGACTTTGAGTAACTATAGTAGTAATTAAAAGAGAACTTTTCTTTAAAACTCTGTAAAATATATAACATTATTTATATAATAAAAACCTTATTAAAAATACATGTAGTTTTTGCATTTATGGGTTGATAACTGATAAGTTGCATAACTGCAGGGCAACTACAGTGCTCTTCTTAAACATAATAATACAATATTATTTAGTATTCTAACTTTAATTCTAACAATATCTGCACAGTATTTATATATATATATATATATATATATATATATATATATATATATATATATATATATATATATATATATATATATATATATATATTTATATATAATGGATGACCTGGATGAATATATATTATATAAGTAATAAAATATATAAATAAATTAAGTTTGATAACTCCCATTATCCATTGTCTTGAGGAGATTTTGTAATTGAATTGAAATTGTCTGGAGTATGCACACTCACTACCCTATTTGATTAAAACTTTCTATTCAATTGAAAAGTTGTGGAAATACCGACAATTTCACTAAAATATAAATAAATATGTAAAAATAAAATTGTAAATCTTTAAATTCTTAAAGTTAAAAACTAATCAATAATAATAATAAATATTTATATATCAAAATCATATATGTACTAACACACAACTATTATTAGGTATTATTTGATCAATCTAATAGATTGTTTTTTGATATAGTATTTGATATAGTGAATAATAGTATTTTAGAACTCAATTTTCGGGCTAACAGAAAAGGAGACTTTAATGATGGGTTTGCTACAATGTAAATAACTATATAGATATATTATATATGCAAAGTTTCTTTAAATGAAAATTTACTAAAGAATTGTAAATTTGATTTTAAAAAGTCTATCCTAAAAGGACTTTATTGCTAAATATGTTCCTCAGTCATAAAATTAACAGGTCTACCTAAAAATAAAGGAGTTCTATATAAAAGATATAAATTTAGACAACTTACTTGATTGGTCCATTCTACAGTCTTTTGGTATAGTAGTGACACTTAATTTGAATAAAGATATCTTATAATGCAACTGAATGCTTGAGACAAGGTGGCTGTTAAGTTAGTGATGATTTAACTAAAATGTAAATTCAAGTGCATATTGTTCATTACAGAGATATGTTCATTGCAATTATTATTAGTCTTCAAAGATGTAAAGTGGTATCACATCCATTTTCTTTTTGTACAAATGAACATTTGTAACCTTTTTTTTTAAAATTGCATGCATCATGCATGTATGCTATATTATAATAAAGCATGCATGAATGATGCATACAAGTACTGTTAGCACTAAGGTCTTCACATACTTAATATCATGTTTTTTGTTACATGAAATTTGGTATCCTGTAAATATTCGTACCTTTTGCATTAACATTAGCATAAAATTCTTCCTCGTTTACAGTTGTTACCTTTTGCATTAACATATATATATATATATATATATATATATATATATATATATATATATATATATATATATATATATATATATATATATATATATATACATATATACATATATACATATATATATATATATATATATATATATATATATATATATATATATATATATATATATTTAATATTATTTGCTTTAACAAGCAGTTTATTCAATTTTTTGTGTAATTTTTCCATGATTTTTACTGTAGTTGAATTAACTAGTAATATTACTACAGTAACATTTCTACTGTAATTGTATTAACTAGAATTACCTTCATTCTTACATTATTTTTTTTAAATAGCTGTTCATAAGCCTGAGCAATGGGATATATCTGACAAGGTATATCTGACAGATGTTAAACTATTAGAATCATATCTAAAATTAAAGAGTTAGCAGTTTATCTTGTAATTACGAAAAAAATAACTATTGCTTTTAAAAACCATTGCAATTTTAGTTTACAGGACGATCTTTGCAAAAATAGTCATTAACTTAATTATTAATTTAAGAAAATCTAAATTTTAAAGGAGTAAAAACGTTACAAAAAATCAATTTAAAACTTGCATGTGAACTTGGGTGCTTCCTGCTGCTTTAACTGTTGTTGCAACTGACTGGACTGTATATAAAATATTAAACAAAACTAAACACGCAAAACTAAATTAACAATAAAAAATATATTTGTGCTGTTTTTAGAAATTTTGTAATATAGCTATATATTGTTGTTCTAACCATGTTAACTTTTCAACTAAAGAGAAGATAAATGATATGATATAATCGTCATATCATATCAGAGGTAAGAAGATTTATTTTCTCTTTAGTGGTTGTCTTATAGGAAAATGAATAATACTTAAATTTTAAAACTATTTTTCAGTTTACACTAAAACTGAAGATCGATTATATAAATATTTGAACCTCACAATTTTTGATTGACATTGACTGCACTAAAAGTATAAATATTATAACATTGCTATTCAATCAATATAACATCTATCATTAACAAACAATTTAAAAAAGTTGTTAAAAAACAAACAATTTAAGAAATAGTTAAAAAAATGCTGAAACTGATACTTTTTTTAAACTAATGCTACTTTTTTCAAACTGCTATTTTAGTAGCAATAACTAAAAAAAAAATTATCAAAATGCATTGTTACTGTACTTAATACACAAAAACTTTTAATCGCTCATACAGTATTATCGAAGAATTACAGGACTTTTTAGCTTTTTCATTAGCCACAACATAATACTAAAAACAAATTTCTTTTATCTTTTCTAAACCATTTATTACATAATTTAAGATTCATAAGAAATTATTATTTTTAATCATAATGAAAGATTTAAAATGTCAGACACATTCTGTGCTTAACTAATTTTATGGAGTTAGTTCCGTACGGAAATAGTTTGATTTAGCTTTTCAACGCAAATTAAACACGTTTAGAATAGATTCCTAAACGTTTAGAACGACGTAAACGCCATCTAAACGTGATCTAAACCAATTTTAAACCAACAAATGCTTTTTGGGAATGAATGCGCGAAAAAAACGACAAAAAATTATTTCTTTTAAAAGGAAAATCTACGAAAGAAAGTTATGATTACAAACAGCTGTTTAGTGAAAAGATTCTACGCTTGCGAAACATAATGCTAACGATTGGCTTGAAATAGAGAGTGTTGATGGATTAATTACTGCGCTAAAAAAAAAACAGAGTATGCCAAGACTATGCTTCTCAAATTCAGATTTTAAAAGGTTACACACAGAATGAAATGGTGAAACAGAATGCGGTCGATTGCAACACATTTCCGCCATCATACATGAATAAAGAATGTCTCACCAAAAAGCTTTAGAAATATTTATGAAAACAAGAGGTATGAGTTTGTGCGATAAAAACAAAAACAAAACGAACTGCAGCAGGAAATGCGGCAAACAGACATTTTATTTGGTATTCAAACCATGCATAGTAAGGATCTTGATTTGACCAAAAAGAAATTCGAGATTGCTTACTTCATAGCAAAGGAAGAGCTGCCGCTTAGTCTATATCTAAAATTAATTCAGATACAAGAGAAACATGGTGTAGTCTAAGTTCAAGCTTACAAAAACGCAAATACTTGCGGAACATTCATTGATTACATTGCCCTGAGTTTGGCGAAAGATCTTAAAAAAACAACTG